TTCTTTACAGCATAACAAGAACTATGCTGTTTAAAAATATGATATCTGTTGGTAATATATCTTCGCTTCATGATTAATAATTAAGTGATTTTTTTATAATTTTGTTTTTTATTTATAATTTATTATTATGAATTATTTAAAATTCCTCTCGTGTGCCATACGATGTTTAAGGTCTTTCTTCATATGATTCTCAATACTTTGGGTTATGACAACGGATACAAGTCACAACGTGTACAATACAGGTCGCCAACGGGTTTGAGAAACCTAACTTAACCTTTCCAAACGTAACCCAAGCTAATCCAAACCATCCTAACCTAACCCAGCTTAACCTAATCTAATCCAACCTACCTAACCTCTCAGTGTAAACCAAACCTATCTAACCTAACCCAACCTAACGCAAACAAACCCAAACCATCCTAATCTAACCCAGCTTAACCTAACCTAACCCATCCTACCTAACCCAGCTTAACCTAACCTAATCTAAGCTACCCAACCTCTCAATGTTGGGTAGCCTGGCCTAGACACTCGCCTGGCGTTCCGCGAGCGCTATGTCATGGGTTCGTATCCTGGCCGGGAAGAATTTACTGGGCGCAATTCCTTAACTGTAGCCTCTGTTTAACGCAACAGTAAAATGTGTACTTGGATGAAAAAACGATTCTTCGCGGCAGGGGATCGTATTCCAGGGACTTGCCCGAAACGCTACGCGTACTAGTGGCTGTACAAGAATGTAACAACTCTTGTATATATCTCAAAAAAAACAAAAAAAAACAAAAATGTAATTCAAACTAATCTAACCTAACCTAACAAACCTATCCCAACATACCCTAACCTAACCTATCCTAAGTTCATGCATCCAAACCTATCAATGTATACTGTTTTGACAATTAGAAAACGGGCCTTGTTGAATTGTCTTGTGTAAGATTAAGCCATTTATATTCCTTGGCGCCTTGGCTCGCTCTCTCGATTACACTCCGTAAAAAATACAGCGGTTTTACCCTAACCAGAAGCGTAAGGCCCTATGGGCAACCCATCTGGTCTACTGGAGCAGATAATCATTAGGTCCAGGAAGCGTCAATATTGCGGCGAGTTTAATTTCCTTAAACAACCTCAAATATTACGTCAGGGTCAGTAACATAAAATATGTCGTGTGTTCAGTAAGAGGATATCAACCGTAATATTAGTCTATCCTCTTCTCCCACTAGCCCTCCCCCCATCCCCCGCTTTCCTCCACTAGCCCCTCCACCTTCCACTTGTTATCCTACCATTAGCTCCTTCTCCCACTTATCCCCCATTTTCCTTATTCCTTCCTTTCAGGAGGGGGGGGCCTTGTTCTTGACAAGTTCACGAGAGAAAATGGGAATCCAACTTGCAGCTTCCTCGAGTACACTTAGTTGAACGAGTTTGGCGGGAGAACCAATATGAGATGAGGACGTGAGCCTCTTGACAAAGAGGGGCATCTTGCCCTGGTCTTTCTTCTCCTGTTGCGTCTCTCCTTCCCTTCCTCTTCTCTCTGCGGAGACTCGGCCGACCGGGCCGAGCCTCGACACTCTCCCCGCCTGCTCAACATTCCTGTGGATCAGTCTGACGTGTCTCTCCCGGCGCTTGCGATTCCGGATTCCCAGAGACTACGTGTGCGTTAAGATCAGCCACTTGGATGGTAGGTGCGGCGTCTTCTTCCTGGGTAATGACATTCCTTGGTACACGCTCCGCTTTCCTCGCTGCTGCTGCTGCTCCTCCTCCTCCTGCTGCAGCTGCTGCTGCTCCTGCTGCTGCTACTACTGCTGCTGCTGCTGCTGCTGCTGCTGCTACTGCTACTGCTTCTGCTCCTGATGCTGGTCGTGCTGCTGGTGCTCCAGTTGCTGATGGTGCTGCTGTTTCTACTGTTCATAATATTTATGCTGCTTCTGCTGCTCCTGCTGCTGCTGCTGCTGCTGCTACTGCTGCTGCTGCTGCTCCTCCTGCTGCTGCTGCTACTGCTGCTGCTACTGCTGCTGCTACTGCTGCTGCTGCTGCTCCTCCTGCTGCTCCTCCTCCTGCTCCTGCTGCTGCTACTGCTGCTGCTGCTCCTGATGCTGGTCCTGCTGCTGGTGCTCCAGTTGCTGATGGTGCTGCTGCTTCTTCTACTTTCATAATATTTATGCTCCTGATGCTGCTGCTATTCCTCCTCCTACTCGTACCCGAGCTGAGAGGTATGAGCTACAAGGAGAGACTACGGGAATTGAACCTCACTTCGTTGGAAGACAGAAGAGTTAGGGGGGACATGATCACCACATTCAAGATTCTCAAGAGAATCGACAGGGTTGATAAAGACAGGCTATTTAATACAAGGGGCACACGCACTAGGGGACACAGGTGGAAACTGAGTGCCCAAATGAGCCACAGAGATATTAGAAAGAACTTTTTTAGTGTCAGAGTGGTTGACAAATGGAATGCATTAGGAAGTTATGTGGTGGAGGCTGACTCCATACACAGTTTCAAGTGTAAATATGATAGAGCCCAATAGGCTCAGGAACCTGTACACCTGTTGATTGACGGTTGAGAGGCGGGACCAAAGAGCCAGAGCTCAACCCCCGCAAGCACAACTAGGTGAGTACAACTAGGTGAGTACACACACACACACGCACACACACACACACACACACACACACACACACTCACAGAAGAAAAAGAGGTGATATGATCACTACATACAAAATAGTAACAGGAATTTATAAAATCGACAGGGAAGATTTCCTGAGACCTGGCACTTTAAGAACAAGAGGTCATAGATTTAAACTAGCTAAACACAGATGCCGAAGAAATATAAGAAAATTCACCTTCGCAAATAGAGTGGTAGACGGTTGGAACAAGTTAAGTGAGAAGGTGGTGGAGGCCAAGACCGTCAGTAGTTTCAAAGCGTTATATGACAAAGAGTGCTGGGAAGACGGGACACCACGAGCGTAGCTCTCATCCTGTAACTACACTTAGGTAATTACACACACACACACACACACACACACACACACACACACACACACACACACACACACACACACACACACACACACACACACACACACACACACACAGTTTCAAATGTAGATATGATAGAGCCCAATAGGCTCAGGAATCTGTACACCTGTTGATTGACGGTTGAGAGGCGGGACCAAAGAGCCAGAGCTCAACCCCCGCAAGCACAATTAGGTGAGTACAATTAGGTGAGTACACACACACATACATACACACACACAATACTGGAAAATACTGGAAAGAATAATTAGGCTACGATTGGTTGCACACCTGGAGAACATTAGGTTTGTGAACAAACATCAACATGGGTTCTGGACAGGGAAATCGTGCCTAACAAACCTTCTGGAATTCTATGATAAAATAACGAGGATAAGACAGGACAGAGATGGTTGGGCAGACTGCATATTTCTGGACTGCCAAAAAGCCTTTGATACAGTACCGCACATGAGACTGCTGTTCAAGCTCGAGAGGCAGGCGGGGGTGGGGGGAAAGGTCCTAGCATGGATAAGGACCTACCTAACAGGAAGGAGCCAAAGAGTTACGGTAAGGGGCGAGAAGTCGGACTGGCGAACAGTAACAAGTGGAGTACCACAAGGATCGGTGCTGGGACCAATTCTATTTCTTGTATATGTTAACGACATGTTTACAGGCGTAGAGTCCTACATGTCGATGTTTGCGGATGACGCAAAGTTGATGAGAAGAGTTGTGACAGATGAGGATTGCAGGATCCTCCAAGAGGACCTGAACAGGTTGCAGAGATGGTCAGAGAAATGGCTACTGGAATTCAACACGAGCAAATGTAAAGTTATGGAAATGGGACTATGAGATAGGAGACCAAAGGGACAGTACACAATGAAGGGGGAACAGCCTACCTGTGACGACGCGCGAAAGAGACCTGGGTGTGGACGTAACACCTAATCTATCTCCTGAGGCACATATAAATAGGATAACGACAGCAGCGTACTCTACACTGGCAAAAGTTAGAACATCATTCAGAAACCTAAGGAGGCATTTAGGGCGCTTTACACTGCCTACGTGAGGCCAGTCTTAGAGTATGCCGCCTCATCATGGAGTCCCCATCTGAAGAAGCATATAATGAAACTGGAAAAGGTTCAGAGGTTTGCAACGAGACTCGTCCCAGAGCTACGAGGGATGGGGTATGAGGAGCGCCTGAGGGAACTGTGCCTTACGACACTAGAAAGAAGAAGGGAGAGGGGGGACATGATAGGAACGTATAAAATACTCAGAGGGATTGACAGAGTGGACATAGACGAAATGTTCACACGGAATAGTAACAGAACGAGGGGACATGGAAGCTTGAAACTCAGATGAGTCACAGAGATGTTAGGAAGTTTTCTTTTAGCGTGAGAGTAGTGGGAAAATGGAATGCACTTCAGGAACAGGTTGTGGAAGCAAATACTATTCATAATTTTAAAACCAGGTATGATAGGGAAATGGGACAGGAGTCATTGCTGTAAACAACCGATGCTCGAAAGGCGGGATCCAAGAGTCAATGCTCGATCCTGCAGACACAACTAGGTGAGTACAACTAGGTGAGTACACACATGGGGTCCTGCAGGGGTCAGTCCTTGGACCTATACTGTTTCTGATATATGTAAATGATCTCGCAGAGGGTATAGACTCGTTTTTCTCAATGTTTGCTGATGATGCAAAAATTGTGAGGAGGATTCTACAAGAATGTAGTAGTTGATCACAAACACATATGTACATTCTCAGCCCATTGTACCTACGCGTATATAAGTAAATAAGTGAATAAACTATATTCAACCACCAATAAAATTATTACTGGGTGGACGGTACCCACGTGTTACGGTCCACAGGTCACTATATGGAATGCTTTCAACTGTTCATCTTATCAGCTTCACTTTAAACAGTTAAAAAGTAAACAGATCTCTTATCGGAACTGACATCATCATCATAAAAGTGAAGCTAAAAAAAACTGATGTCCTCATTACCATATATTGAATTAGTCTATACAACAACGGCGTAGTATCTTGCTGGTCGTTCTCGATAGTGGAAGTGATTGTGCTCCGTTACTTCCCTTCTCCTTCACATCCCTTGCAAGTGCTATATACAGTCTCAACTGTCAATCAACCGGTGTACAGTTTCCTGAACCCAATGTACATGGGTACGGTTGAAAGGATCAAGATCAATACCTCGACCACCACACTACGCGCGTGACAATACAATACGAGAAATAGACCGTGTGTAAAATAGTGATGTTGGTGTGTTGTATAATGGTGGTGTGATCGAGGCTCACACAGGCAGGTGGCGACCACGTGGGCTTGTTATTGTAAGCTGGGGTGGCCCCTGGATGGTCAGGACGGGCGGGAGGCTCCGGGTATAATTGGAGTTCAAGTTCAAGTATGTTTATTGAGACAAGAAAAAATACATCTCAAAGGGATAGAGTAGCTTAGGCTATTTCTACCCCCCCCCCTCTACTTCAAGTCCCTCAAGGGGCGCACAAATTCAGTGAGTACAAATGAACAAATCACAATACAAGAATCCAATTTAACATTGCAGGTTAATATAGTAAGTACAGCATATAATTGTTACACTCTTGGGGCAAAGTGCTTGTAGCTCCTAAGTATCCTGTCTATCATACCATTATCACACATCCAAATAATTTGATGTGGTACACTACTTATTTTCTTATTTCTTTAGTTATCAATAAGTTGACACTCTAATACATAATGTTCTAAGGTGTGGGCGTACGGCATACTACATAATTTACGCTCCTTATCTTTTTCACTGACATCAACACCGTATTGCCAGATATATTTGTATCCTAATCTTAATCTCATGTAAATTGAATCCTTACAAGTAGACTTTCCTCTACCGTAGATGAAGGACGAATTTGTATTTATTAATAAATAATTCTTAAGTGTGTTACTACTGTCCACCATTGCCATTCTCTTTACCATTTCTTCACCCTCTTGGATCATCTTGATTGTTGTTTTTATTTGTTTCAAGGTTATCTGACATACATCAACAAGAGTTTTTTCCGTGGCTCTCTTCGCTATCTCATCAACTACCTCATTCAACAGTATTCCCACATGTGAAGGGATCCACATGAATCTTACTTTATACCCAGTTTTTTCTAATTTCTTAACATTCTCTCTACACTCTATCACAATATTCTGGTGTACTGGGCGTCTGCTTTTTAAAGACTCTAACGCTCCTCTACTGTCAATAAAGAAGCAAGCATTTTTACCACATTTGACTACTTCCTGTAATCCTGCTAATACACCTTGCAGTTCAGCCTGCGTTGAAGAGACATTGTCAGTTAAGCAGCGTCCAATAACAGTATCTACAGTGGTGATGTCAGTGTACTCCCTGATCAAGACTCCACATCCTGCCTTCCCATCCAAAGCTACTGACCTAGGTCAGTAGCTAGGGAGGCATGACTGGAGGGGTTAACTGTAACTGGAGACTTGACTAGGGGTACCTATGTAACTGAAGATATGACTAGTAACATAACAACATGTATGAATTGTTGACCAAACCACACGCTAGAAATTGAAGAGACGACGACGTTTCGCTCCGTTCTGGACCCTTATCAAGTCGATAGTAGTCCAGGATGGACCGAAACGTCGTCGTCTCTTCATTTTCTAGTGTGTGGATTGTTCAACATACTTCAGCCACGTTATTGTGACTCATCGCCTGCATAAAGGAAGATCCAAAATCATGCTATGTATATATACGAAGTAAAACCAGAACAAAGAACTCTGTAGGACCCCAACAAGATAAGACTAACCAAGTTACATTGGATGATAAAAGGACAGCAAACACTTTGAATGAATACTTTACATCAGTGTTCCCACTAGAAAGATGGAACGACATCCCATCACCCACACAAATGTTTGAAAGAGGTGAAGAGAATGAATGAAAAGAGAATGAGCAGTCTCCGTGGTGTAGTGGTAAGCAGTCTCCGTGGTGTAGTGGTAAGACACTCGCCTGGCGTTCCGCGAGCGCTATGTCATGGGTTCGTATCCTGGCCGGGGAGGATTTACTGGGCGCAATTCCTTAACTGTAGCCTCTGTTTAACGCAACAGTAAAATGTGTACTTGGATGAAAAAACGATTCTTCGCGGCAGGGGATCGTATTCCAGGGACCTGCCCGAAACGCTACGCGTACTAGTGGCTGTACAAGAATGTAACAATTGTATAAATCTCAAAAAAAAAAAAAAAAAATTAAAGGATATACCCATTACATGCGACACAATCAGAAAGTCCATTGACAAAGTAATAGACTCAAAAGCCCCATATGTAAATGGATTTTAATCCAAAGTCGTGAAGGAACTGGCAAATGCACTATGCTTGCCACTGAAACTCCTTTTCAGAAAATCCCTGGACCAAGGGATAGTTCCCCTGGACTGCAAATATGCAAATGTTACCCCTATTGTCAAAAAAGGCAGGAAAAGCTCGGCAGAAAATTACCGTTCGATCAGCTTGACATGACACATCTGCAAGCTCATGGAGAGAATCCTAAGGGAAGGAATCGTACAACATTTCACAGAGAACAATTTTGTAAAATGAACGTAACACGGGTTTGTTTAAAATAAATACTGCCTTACTAACCTGCTCACATTACTGGAAATGGTAACCGGCTATTCAGAACTTACATGGACTTTGCTAAAGCTTTTGTCAATGTACCACATGAGAGAATGGCAAGGAAAGTACAGGCACATGGAATAAATGGGAGAATACTGGAATGGATAAAACAATGGTTAAAACATAGAAAACAAAGGGTCATGCTAAATGGGAATGACTCTGGGGAAATGTGCTAAGTAGGGTGCCACAGGGGTCCATTTTGGGGCCAACCCTCTTTGTCATATACATCAATGACATAGATGACAATATTACAAACCACATAATCAAATTTGCAGATGACACTAAAATCTATGGTAAAGCGGAAAGTGAAGGCGATATTGAGACCTTACAAAAAGATCTACATGAACTCCACAAATGATCAGATGACTGACAAATGCTTTTTAATATCGATAAATGCAAGACCTTGCATGTGGGGCACAACAATCCACGTCACAACTACCAAATTGAAATCACAACCTTACAACAGATAGATGAAGAAAAGGACCTTGGCGTCAGAATGCATCATTCACTAAAAGTTGCACAAGACGTGGGAGGTCAGTAAAAAAAAAAGCGAACCAAACCCTGGAAATAATCAAACGTACATTTACCTTCAAGGGAAAAGAAAGTAGCCGTTCAATTGTATAAGTCTGGTGCAGATTGATTGATTGATGAAGATTAAGCCACCCAAGAGGTGGCACGGGCATGAATAGCCCGTAAGTGGTGGCCCTTTCGAGCCATTACCAGTATCAAAAGATGATACTGGAGATCTGTGGAGGCGCAACTGCACCCTGCGTGACGGGAGATGTCTCCCGGACCAAGTGGTGACCAAATGGAGTCTGGTGCACCCCCACCTGGATTATTGCATCCAGGCATGGAAGGGAAGGGAACTATCAGGGGGAAAGCATCAAGCCATTACGACTATATAGCACTGGGAATGGGTTAGGATAAGGATCTGGGATGGGACGGGGGGAAGGAATAGTGCCCAACCACTTGGACGGTCGGGGATTGAACGCCGACCTGCATGAAGCGAGACCGTCGCTCTACCGTCCAGCCCAAGTGGCATCGAGGCATGGAGACATCTCTAGAAAGACATAGCTGCTCTGGAGGAGGTCCAACACCGGGCAACAAAAATCATGACAATGCTTAGTCATCTCTCTCGTATCAGGAATGGTTGAGGGCCACGGGGTTAACAACACTTCAGACCAGACATGACAGAGCAGATCTAATCGAAACCTTTAAAATACTGAACAATTTGGAGGATGTTTATCCGGTCAGCTTCTTCAAAAGGTCAGGTGTAACACGAACGAGGAGCAACGGGTTCAAGCTCAAGAAACCACAATGTAGGATAGAAAACAGGAGATGCTTTTTCATCCATAGGGTTGTAAACATGTGGAACCGCCTACCCGCCGAAGCCGTAAACGCCAAAACTCTGCTGGGGTTTAAAATTCAGCTGGAAGAGATCATTTATGTATTATTATTATTTTATATATACAAGAATGTGCATTAGGTTTATACATAGCTTTGATGTTTTTACATTATTGTAAAGCCGTGTCTGAAGCTAGACACAAATACAACAAAATTATTAATGATGGTAACAGAATCCATTTCATGTGGACTCCATCTCATGTTGGTCTCCGAATGCATGAAAGAGCTGATGAGTTAGCCAAAGAATCTACCTTCAAAGGAGAAACTGAGAATAATCTTGGATTGTCAATAAGCTGTCTGAGAGCAATAGTACACCAAGAACTTCAACAAAATCTTGTAGCTCCGAGGCAGAGTGAAATCGACATCAGTAATTCCATCAATCATCATACTATCATGTAAGAGGAGCCACACATCTATGGTTCATCCAATGAAATCAACAGACTTCTAGATGTTTCTACTGGTCGGCTTAGACTCGGTTACAAGTATCTCTGGGAATGCTCATTATCTGCTGATGTAGACCTAACCAAATGTAAACATCATATAAGAAATAAGAGGTCCTAGAATGCTGCCATGTGGTACTCCTAAGTTTAATAGTAGAGTGGGAGAGGTTATATCATTTATGGCTACATATTGGTGTCTTTCACTAAGATAGGATTGGATATAGTTCAGGGCAATGCCTCAGATTCCATAATGGTGGAGTTTAAGTAAACGGTAGTTATGGTTAACAGTATCTAAGGTTTTTCTCAGGTCAATGAAGAGTCCAATCGGAAACTCATTTTTGTCAAGGCCTGAGTAGATTATATCAAGAAAACTAATAATGGCATCGTTGGTACTCTTTTGGGAGCGGAGGCCAAACTGACAGGGACTTAGAATGAATTTTCGAGGTAGGAGTAGAGTTTTTATATTAGCAAAATTAGGTATAAACAGCAATGTGTTGCTACCCTATTCTATATGAGATATTACACAGTATAGATCAAGAACTAGCTATAGGTTCAACTATTATTCCCATCTCACAGGATGGTTAGTCATATATGGAATTGAAATTGAAAAGCTGCGGGTTTTTTTAAATTGAAAAGCTGCGGAAAAGGTTAGAGTAGATGAGGATAGTATCATCAGCAAACAAAATAGGTTTCAGAATGTTAGAGACATTAGGCAGATCATTGATGTATATAATAAATAAGAGAGGTCCCAAGATGCTACCCTGTGGCACTCCAATTAGGAGTGCCCTGACTTTTCGAATTAGGGGAGATCTGTTTGTAAATAATTGTTTTCAAATATTTTTGATAATATAGGTAGATTTGATATTGGTCTGTAATTGTTTATGTCTGCCGGAGTGCTTCCTTTGTGAACTGACATTACTCGTGCATTTTTTTTAAGGATATCAGGGAAGGTATGACCGTAGAGGTTTGTTAAACAGCAGAGCTATGGGTGGCGCAAAGGTATGGGAAGCACTCT